GATTTGCCACAGATTTTGCTGATTAACATTAGCAACTGAAGAATCAAATTTAGTGGAAGATCAGGGCCCAATGATGGATCTTCTTATCCATGAAGATCAGAATACTGGGGAAGCAACCGTTGACCCTTTATTTTTCAATCATATTGAAAGAACTGTTATGCCCTGCTCAGCCACTGCTGAGATATAGGCTTCTACTTCAATGCAATGGCCAAAGAATAAGGGTATTAAAGCACATATTCCTTTCTAAGCAGTTCAAAGTGTGGTGCCCGCAGCCATTTTTGAAAGTACTGCACAACTTAACAAGATCAATTGCTCTTCTTTGACAAATGATATTACCATATATTATCCCTGGGGTGTAATTTAGTCCTTAATTCTTCATCTTTATATAGCTTGAGAAGCTTATGTGGCTGCTTTCTCCATCCTACCATGCAATAATTCACTGGAATCATTTCTTTAAAAGCAAAGTAACCTTGCCAGTTGGTTCAGAAATAGAACCTTTGCTTAACCATGACTCAAAAAGGAAAAAAATGTTTCACCTGCAATGGAAGACATGGTAGTGGAGAAAATATAAGTTGTGGTATATAGGATGCAAACAGTGATAAGGCATTAAATTGTTAGCTATTTGCTTTGATATTATGGCTATTTTCACTGCTAGTGAGAAAGAAAGGGAGACATATGATGTTCCTGTTGCTTAGTCAAAATTAGTTGATTAGTAAACCTTGCCCAAGTACACTTTAGACACCACAAAATAGATATATATTATTTTTAATGTGCAACAGAGGACATATCTTTTTATAACATTTTGAGTTTCTTGAGATGTGGACAATCATGGAACTGTATGCCCAATAAACAATGCAGAAAGAAATAATTCCTTCCACCTTAGTAAAAGTAACTTTACTAAGACTTCGGCAAACTAGTTTCCTTAAGAGTGTTTGAACTATTCACATTTGAATAGAAGCAATTCTTTCCACTAGACCTGTGGCTAAAGTAATGTCCTGCCCATTCTGTTAACATACTTATTTTGTAATCATTCATTCAACAATCCTTCCCATCTTCTGCTCCACTCCATGATCAGATTTCAACATTTTTCATTTTCTTAAGAGAGTACAATATGTATTTCTGGTGCTTCTTGTTTGCTTGCTTATTTGCTATGTCACTTCTTCATTAGTTTAGATTGGAAAATAAACATCTTCCTTGCCCAGCGTCAAATGTTTCTCTAATTTATCTCGTTAAGCAAACGTCACTGCATTTATATTTAATCTCTGTCCCCTGCAGTTCTTCAAGGAGGCATGTCTGTACCATCAAGACTAATAAGAATGAAGGATGGTTCTCAATTTAGCTAATATCAGCAAGCAATAAAGTAGTATGGCTCATGTTATACTATTTTATCACTTACCTAACACAGTCAGTCTCCTCCAAAATGAGTTGAATTCAGACCTAGTTATGCTTAGAAGTAGACTCATGGAAATCAGTGCTACAAATTAGGTTGGAATAACTTTAAATCCATCTGTTTCAATGTGGCAGCTCTAACCATAGCTACAATTGGGTCCAACACAATAAAGACCTCTGACTGAGCATGTTTATAATAATAATAATAATAATAATACTTTATTTATACCCCGCTACCATCTCCCAAGGGACTGGGGTGGCTTACATGAGGTCGAGCCTACAATAAATCAATAATAAAAGCAATAACAACAAATAATACAAAACAATAAAATAAAACTCATAACAAAAAATAAGCAATAAACATTAACAGTAACACAGCGACGTTTAAAAACCTATGGCTGGGCCAAATGTAATAATTAAAATTTAAAAATAATGCTGAGCATGAACAGATGAAATATGAACTAGGATAAAGTTTTCAGAGCGGGATGGGGCGTGCAGACACTCCTAGATCCATAGTAAAGTGCATTTAGAGGACATATTGCTGGGAGTTTCCTTATTCTGGGAAGGCACACTGGAACAGCCACGTTCCAGTTTACAAATCATGGTGATTTTTCACATAAAATTCCTCTCCCTAATTAAGGAGCAAGTGAACTAGAGATCAATCATATAAACAGAAACACTATCAAACTTTTGGAGATTTACATATACAAAGGAGCATCTTGGATTGCTAATATGCCTCAGCATCTTTCTCTCAACGTGAATCAAGAACCAGGTGCGTTTTTGGAGCAAAAGTAAGGTCTGTTCAGTATGTCTAATATGTATGGCAGAGTGGGGCGAGGTCCTGGCTTGTTAACGGGTCCATCAGACCTATAGACCTTGCACAATTATCTAAATGGGTTATGTTGCATCTATTGTCAAGGAGCACAGGCATGCTACGGTTATCTCATCTGTTATTATGTATACCAGCACATCCACTGAAAAAAATCATGACGCATAAAGTTTTTTGTACATTATAAATTAGGCAAATTCTGATCCACAGCAGGTAGCTGATATGGTTGTAGATCAGCCAGAGGCTGATGGTTTAACTAATGATTTAGAGAGGATTGTGGGATTTCCTGTGGCACAAAGTGAAGAGCTCTCAAGTCTGGGAAATTCAGGTCTGGGAAATGATGTTTCTCTCTGTGAGAAAACTGGCTCGGAAAGTGCAGGGTGTCAAGGCTAGTCCAAGGAGTCAGAAGTAGCAGCAGCAGATAAGAAATTGAGTGAAGAGCTGAGTAATAAGGAGGGTTCCCAGGAGAAACCACCTGTAGCTACAGAGACAAACGAAAGTCTTTGTTTACAAATCAGAGCTGAAAATAGATTATGCCTATCTGAGAAATTATGTGGGAAAGTTGTGGAGAAAATTCATGGAAGACGTTATGCTTTAATGGAGGTCTATTAAACAAGCTGTTTACCTTAAGGGCAGTTCAGGCAATGCTGTGTTAGAGTGAGAAGCTAAGCCTGAGTTCTACTGTTCTTGGTTCAAGTCAAGCCTTGGTTTTGAATTCTAATATCCTGGAAGTTTTCTATGTTTCTGTTCATGTACTCCTGTTCAAGTTTTTACTAATTATACCTTCTTGCTTGTGGACTTATGCTGTACCTGTGACTGTTCCTGGACTTTGTCACCTCTGGAAGTTTCTGAGACATTTGGATTATTGTTTGGTTATCACTTGTTGCTAAACCTTTTTGGATTATATATCTTTTTTTTTCTTATTCCTGCTTTTTATATGTTTTTATGTGTTTTACAATAAACTGTTTGCTTATATTCCTGGCCTCTTGTGTGGTCCTGTGGTCATGGGTGTTTCCAGGCCTGGAGTACAACAGATATTTGGAGACTTTTGTCCAATTTATCATAAAAAGACATGGACATAAACAACTTTGCAGAAATGTGACCTACTTTTATTTGCTATGCTAATCAATCAACAGACCAAAGAAAACAAGTCCTTAGTGTTCATGCTCATATATGGAATGAAGCACTTGGTTGAATTAGAAATATATTCTGGAGACTATATTACTTTATTAAAATTAGACATTATAGACTTATACAAGGACTCATGTATAAATCTAAGAATTTTAGTAAAATAAAAATCAACACAAAAAGCCTGGTTCCACTTATCAATGGGTCAACATCTATGCCACTCCGGAATGTCAGAATTTGATAGCTGATGCTGATATCATTTGATGACAATTGGAAAGGTAAAGAGGGCAGCAAGATAGCTTGAGATGTACATGTAACCCAGAGGTGACATGCTGCACCCCCCTGATTATGAGGGTGCAGGAAAATAGTTGAAATTGACAAAATCACCCTCCATGATAGTTTAAGCAAATGCTCCACTCAACAGAGCCTGCACGTGGAGGGGACTGGCATGCCAACCTGCTCCAGCTCCCTCCTATAACATTACTACAGTTTCCTGGGTTGAAAAGGAAAAGTCAACACAACATTAAGGAATGACACAGTGAAGTGTAACAGCAAGAACACAAAATCTCTGGAGTGGATGATCTAGGAGGAGAGACAACAAGCACTTTACTTTTAAAAAAGCCAACAGGTTCAGAGGCATTTGTGTTGGTGGATTGATTTACAAGGCACATCAGTCATATTCTCCAGGGCCCTTCACATATAAATGACAGCTGATTTTTAAAATTGAGCTGGTTTGCCAAGATGGGTCTTTACTGACGTTCACTCCTGAGTAAAGAATGATTAGATCCAAAATTACAGAGCTGGCACTTGCTGTGATGCTGCAGCACAATAGGAAATGAGATGCAATTGAGGAGGATGTTTCTTTGCACAGGAGGCCTGATAGGGGATTGGGGAAAACACCAAAGGGAACAGAATGTGATGTTATGGCCCTTAACGCATTGGATTAGAATGACTGAAACTTGTGTCATTTTCCTTCTGGTGATATTACACTCTAGAACTCCCTTTTTTATACAATATAATATGACTAAGATAAGCAGTTTTTGAATTTTGAAGAAAAGATTTCTCACCCTGACTTACAAGAGAATTCCAACAAGTCAGATCTAGGGATCCCAGTAGAGTTACCTTACCACCAAACCAAAGCCTGCCTCAGGGGAGCAAGTTTGCTCCATCAATGTTTAACATTTACACAAATGATCAGCCATTGCCAGAAGAGACAGAGAGTTTCATCTATGCTGATGATTGTGCCATCATCGCTCAAGCAGGGAGATTTGAAATGGTTGAACAGAAGCTCTCCAAAACTTTAGATTCTCTTACTGCTTATTACAAGAAAAACCAGCTAATTCCTAATACATTTAAAATACGGATGTGTGCTTTTCACCTTAAGAACAGACAAGCATCTCGAGCTGTGAGGATTACCTGGGAAGGAATCCCACTGGAGCATTTCAGCACACCAAAATACCTGGGAGTTACCCTGGACCATGCTCCGACTAATAAGAAGCACTGCTTGAATATCAAGCAAAAAGTGGGTGCCAGAAATAATATCACACGAAAACAGACTGACACAACTTGGGGATCACAACCCCACATAGAACTAGCATGAAGTCTGCAATTTGATTCCGGTGGAAATTCCATATAAAAGCAAAACTGCACTCACCTCATCGACATTCTCAAATGCATTGATCACATCGTAGGGCAAACAGGAAAGAAGGTCAATGACAAACCAGGTCTTCAAGTAATTCATGCGGATCAGCTTTGGGTCTGAGATGACCTCCCCAGCTGGACCGACAAAAGTGGTATGGAAATTAAGCACAATGTCTACCAGAAAAATGACATCGACAATGCTGTCCACTACCAGCCAGGCCACATTGTTCTGTTTGGTTTTAAATGAGACGTTGTAAGGGACCAAAATAGCTGTGTAGAAGGTTAAAATCAGGATGACCCAATCCCATGTGGTCTTGAAAACACAGTAATGTAAAATAATATGTGGTGGAGTCTTTGGTGCCTCTTGCTTGTACTGTGGAAGGATTTCAGAGCCCAGTTGTAAGACCTGCAGCAAAAAGAAAAACAGTCAGGCAAGTCCCCATCACATGAAAATCAAAACTCTTAATTTATTATTTAGTTAAGGACTTAGGTGAGCCATGTTTCCTCAAAGCATCACAGAATGGTTAAGACTAAATATTTATACCCATATACTTGGGAATAAGTCCTATTGAACCATTGCAGTCAGGCATGTAGCCGGGGGGGGGGCTCGGGGGGCTTCAGCCCCCCCCCCCGAAATTCTCATGGTGGTTCGCGAAAAGGCCTTACTGGTGCATTATTTAAACTGTTATGTTTATTCATATCATGATATGATCACCATACTCAATATATCCCATACGCATGGGGGAATTGGGGTAATGATACAAAAGGTTTGCTAGGCTAGACCCTCTTTCACTCAGACTCAGCCCCCCCGAAACTCAGCCCCCCCCCCGAAAGCCCCCCTGAAATTTTTTTAGCCCCCCCCCCCCCGAAACGAAATCCTGGCTACGGGCCTGATTGCAGTTGAAGTGGTGTCAAACTGCATTAATTGTACAGTGCAGATGCACCTTAGAAAGTTTGGGACGCCTGAGCTATTTCAATCCCACTTTATAACCAGGAACTAATGCCTGCTTTTCCGGGGGGGGGGGGTTTCCCCTGTCTCCATAAAATCCCCGTTCCTGTTGATATTATGTATTTTAGATAGCCTGAAGGAAGGAACTATTGAATGACTGGTCTTTGAAAGCACCTCTAAGAATATTTGTTGGATAAGGGGAAAAGTTAAAAATATTTTCAGTGAATACATTCACTGCATGGACTTGCATCTACTTATAAGGCTCTATGAATAAGTACCACGATTTATGTGATCCTAACCAAAACCTGACACCACAAATGTTCTTCCAAATCTTTGTCCATGAGCTTAAAAAAAATGAACTGAAACTCCCAGAATCCCCCTACTATGCCAAAAGTAAGTATTCCAAGATTTAATCGATCAACCTATCACAACAGATATTATAAAGTTTCCTTCAGTTGCTGAAAATAAATTGATTCTCCCATAATGCAGTTTGCAAACATATTGGAGATAACGTGACAAGCATTGACTTTTTTAAAAAAGGAATTTGTTACTCAATCTGAATATATTAACATTAGGGGTTTTTTTTAATTTAAACACTCCAAAAGTGAAACATTTCCTCTAAAAATAAGTTTTTGAAATAATACTCCTATACTGAAAACCTATCAGTTAGTTGTTAGACATATTAAAGTAACAATGTGATGCCTTGACTATTTCCCCAAATTAATGTGTTCCAAGTAAAATCATAGAATCATAGAGCTGGAAGAGATCACATGGGCCATCCAGTCCAATCCCTTGCTAAAAAGCAGGAAAATCACATTCAAAGCACTCCCAACTGATGGCCATCCAGCCTCTGCTTAAAAGCCTCCAAAGGAGCCTCCACTACAGTCCAGGGCAGAGAGTTCCACTGCTGAACAGCTTTCACAGTCAGGAAGTTCTTCCTAATGTTCAGGTAGAATCTCCTTTCCTTTAGTTTGAAGTTGTATTTGAAGTAAAATTGCTTTTGTAACACATCACTACCAAATTCTAGACAATTATAATTATGGGTCAAGAGGAAATTATGAGCCTGAGGAGCACATTAGACTGTATTTGAAACATATCTAATTCTCACATTCTTGTAGATGGCGATACAGATGTTTTTCTTTCAACATCTTTCATAATCCTTATACAATATTCATGCCATTGTTCTTTTTTCTTATTGTTCTCTTAGACGACTTCGGATACCAGCTGTGCTGTAATGTGCTGGAGCTGAGAATTGGGCTCAGTGATGGTAAAATAATGAGTGCAATATTTAACTGGCAATTAATAATACACATTTCATATGTTCAGAGCATGTTCTTGACCTTTATTATTTATAATTAACTCACCAACTGTCAGGGTTTTAATTCATTCACAGGCTTGTCAGATGGACCGGCTAGCATGGAATTCTCTAATAGATAGCAAATGAGCAATTTAAAGCTGAAGCAAAATATCAAAAGTACTCTCTGTGAAAAAAAATACTGTGACAATTTATCTGACTATCACAGAAAACCCCATGATAGGGTCATCTTAGGGTCATCAAAATGCCTTGAAATCTCACAACAAATCTAATTTATGATTGTATCTGTTATCAGACATTTAACCGACAGATTCTAAGACTACTGCATTCAGACTTTTTAAAAAGTTCTGAATAGTTTTATATCAAAAGGAATGTGAGTACAAAGCCCTAAAACATGGCATTTAATCAGCACTAGAAATGTGTCACCATAGATGTGCATGTTTTTAGCTGCTTCCTGAAGAATGTGATGTCCATAAAAAAAGGAGGAAGGGGGAGAGGAAATTAGACAACCCTTTACGACTAACTGGTTTTCATTTCAGCATGAGCTTTCGTGGCTACAAACCCACTTTTACAGATACAGTAGTGAATGATACCAAAGTCTCAAGTTATAAATCATCTGTATACAGTTGAAGGATAGAATGAAAGACCATTAACACCTCACCCAGACCTTTGAACATTTAGGGTAAGGAGCTTGGTGTGCATCATTCTGGATTCTGTTATTGATCGATTGATTAAAATATTGATACGCCACACCTTGTCCATAGATCTCAGAGTCACTTGCCAAAAAAAAATATCAGATTAGAACCATAAATTATTACAAAGTTCAAAAGACTTGAAATATATTAAATCGTTTTTCAATTTAAAAACAGACAGCTTAAAACTGGTTAAAACAATCTTGAATGAGATAGCCATAAAACATGTGCAGCCTGGATAAAATTAGTTCAGCCTCAAGACCCTTTGGGGAGATAGGACGGATGATGATGATGATGATGATGATTATTATTATTATTATTATTATTATTATTATTTAGTGCTGACACAGATGGACTACAAACAAAGACAACTCTTTGGTCCAGATGATTCACTGGAACTTATGTCACAAGTACCACCTGACAGCAGTAAAGAATTGATGGGATCATAAACCCGCAAAGGTCATGGAAAATGAACATGCAAAAATACTGTGGGACTTTCGAATCCAGACTGACAAAGTTTTGGAACACAATACACCAGACATCACGATTGGGGGGGGGGGGGGGGGGAGTCTGGATTATTCATGTTGCCATACCAGGTGACAGTCGCATTGAGGAAAAGCAACAGGAAAAACTAAGCTGCTATCAAGACCTCAAAACTGAACTGCAAAGGCTTTGGCATAAACCAGTACAGGTGGTCCCAATGGTTATTGGCGCACTGGTGCCGTGCTCAAAGATCTCAGCCGGCATTTGGAAACAATCAACATTGACAAAATCACAATCTGTTAACTGCAAAGGCCACCTTACTTGGATCTGCGCACATCATTCAAAAACACATCACACAGTCCTAGACACTTGGGAAGTGTTTGACTTGTGATTTTTTGGATCTGAAATTCAGCATATAGATCTTGTTTGCTGTGACATACTGTCCTTTTGTATCAGTAAAATAATAATTCAGTGCTGGAATTATTTTTTATTTATTTCACGTCAAAAGCATTGCATAAGTAAGTATAAAACTGATAAAAATAGAGGGAACACAAACCATTAAATAATTTTAGACCCAAAATGTGTAACAGCGACCGCATTGTCTATAGCTTTAAACAATTCTTCCTCTATGCATGAGGCAGGGTATAAAGGAAAAGGACTTATTTGGCAGTAAATCCCAATCGCTGTACACCAAATATAAAAGATAGGGGATTATTTATTGGTAAATCTCAACGCTTGCCACCAAGATGTAAGAGGTAGGAACTAAAATCCCACAAACTGTACCACCACTTGTAAAGGAATGTGGCTTCTTTAATTAAAAATCAAAAAGCTGAATAAGCTGGAACAATCTTCTGGCCGAAAAACCCTTCAAAAGAACACTGGCTGCCAACACACTCAAGAGAAATGCTAAGCCCTTGGCTTACTTGAAGTATTCTTTATGGTAGAATGTGCTGGATTCGCACTCAGGCTTTGTTCTCTGAGGTAACACTGAAGAGATTCCTATTTTAAAATATATGCTGCCACCTTTTAAACTTTGATTTCTGCAGTAAACTACTTGGAAACTTCTCACACAGAGGCACACGTGAGGCAGATGTTGTGAACAATAAAACAATGTTGTTTATTTGAGAGAACTTGAACAAAACAGGCATTAAGCTTAGCTGTTTCAATGTTGAATAAAGTGTGTGGTTTCTTTAAATAGTTCAAATCTTAGTTGCACATAACACTCCTCTCTCCCTCCAGAAATTACTGACAGGATTCCTCTCTGCCTAGCAATCCCAAACTCCTCACAGACAGTCCTTTTTTCCCTGGATCTGTCACTCAACTCTCCCAGCTATCCTTCCCAATAGCTGTAAATCTTCTCACTAACTAACTCTTCTGGCTAACTGACCAACTTCAGGCTTCCCTAACCTTTCTCTTTTTCACACCAAACTCTAGTCTTCTCTCCCTGACACCCAGACTCAATCTGCTTCTTGACACCCAGACCTAATCTGCCCTGTCAGATTTTAAAACGTCCCCTTAAAGACGTTTTTCTTTTCTCAAGTTAAGCTCCGCCCACTCTCTTCCAGCCAATCACTAACGCCCCTCATTTCCATCCAAGCTGCTCCTAAGCACACCCCCTTCAAGAAATGAGTATTTAAGATGGATGCCCCCAAGCACCCCTCCAAAATGGCCGCTGGACTTCCTGGGCCTACTTTTCTGAGCCTTTCCTAACCTAACATGTAGGAAATTCATCACACAGGACATTGTGGACAAACATATAGGTGTGGAGTTGTCTGTTCTGCTCCACAGTCACACAAGGTGGAGGTTTCTTGTAGGGAGTGCCATTTGCCAGGTTGTCTTTTGATCTGCCCACTCCACTTCTGAGTCCTTTCAGGGACTTTCAAGTTACCCATTCTTGGTTTGCCCCTGGAGGAAGACCCTCATAAGAAAGAAAATAGGTGATGTAGCTATAATGATAGCCACGCATATAGTGAATCCTGGCCCAAGACATTTTGCTGACAGAGATCAAGAAGAAGGTTACATTGTCTCCCCTTCCAGGTAGAAAAGATGACTGAGATGAATGTTACTTCAGTGCTGCTGATAGGTCAGGATGTTATTCAATTTTTGGAAATTTCCAAAGTTGCAGTATGCATTTTTACACAAGTGAACCAAGGATTTGGCCCCTGAAAAAAGTCAAGCTATGATAAGGTTGAAACAAATGGTTTTAAAAAAAAGAGGTTTTGACCATATCACATGGTATTTATTTTCTTTTTACTCTCACTTAGATTATGTTTTTTCCCATTTTTGTTTTGTTCCAACTAGAGTCCCCAAAACCTCACCTGCTATACAGCAGGCAACAAAATTGCCCTTTTACCAGACCTATAGACAAAAATATTAATGGAAGGGGGGAAAAACTATTCTACTCAAAGCAACCAGCCAACCCATAGTCAACTTGTGAGAAAGCTTGCACAAAGTGTGATGATTGTAGAACCTTAGCAGAAGTTAAAATCACTCACAACGAGGTCTTGGAAATGTATTTAATGCTACCTTACTACTATACAGCAAAGTTACGAATGAAGAAAATGCAGGCAACTTCTCAGTTCAATACCCCAAAAGCCCTACCCCTTCAACTCCCACAAGTTCCTCTGTTCAGCCTTCCGATTTTCCAGTCTGAGCTGAATCACATTATCAGGCTCTTTCCCAACTTTGGCTTTGAACTCACGGAATGGAGGGTTCTGGTGTCTTGAACACACCAGATATGAGTCCATGACACATAGAAACCATTGGTTTCTGGCATTTCCTTTAATGATCAATTCTTTTCTGATACCAGTTGTTCCATAGAGGAAACACTGATTGCAATACATCCAAGAATTTGGAAAGAAGCTACTCATACAAGGACTATCACACTGCAACTATTAGCTCACAGGAGGGAACATTACTGGCTAACTGGTAGCTTAGTTTGGAGGAATAAGCCTTCTGCCTCTCTAGCTCAACTATGCAGGCATAGCTTGAAGCTTAATACCTTAAAGGATTTAGTATCAATCCTATGCTCTTCAAGCCAGACCAAAGAATATAATTGCATTGCTAGACTTACACAGAGGTCAAAAGGGGGCAAAAAGTGGGTTTGAAAGCGGAAATCATACAACTTGAAATGTTTTTTTAAAAAACAGAAATAAAATAAAATTTACTTGCAGAGGCAGATAATGGTTCACCCCTTTGTCCACACACTCATTTTCCATCTCTGCATTATCCGGAGTCAACACACGCATCGATTCATCCTCCGAGCTGCCATATGCCTTGCACACTGATGTTTTGTAAGATTGTGCAGAAGGAGTATCTCACTCAATCCCTTTTTCTTTCCCACTTTGCCCCAAACAACTTCTCAAATCCTCCAACCACTAACACTGATACTCTCTTTCTGGCAGTAGCAGCATTCCTTCATTTAGGCAGAATGAGGGAAGGCAAAAACAGGTCAACTAATTTTTTACAAGATTTTAGTTACCAACTACCCGAAGTTTCAAGCACACACTCCTTGTTGCTGCCTCCTTGAAAGTGGCACAGTTCCCTGCCAAGAAGGAATTTAAGGAGGCCACCCATGAAGTGACAACCCCTGCAACTCGTGGTTGCAGGGGTTGTCACACCATCAAAGGGGTAACACCAAAATATCTAACATTTGTGTGCAGTGCTTCATTAGAAATGTATTATTTTTATAAGACCAGTTTATATGTACTGTATCAACATACATGCATACTTAAAACTTTAAAAAAATGGTTTTTTTCATCTTCTAATGTGATCCATTTAGAGCTGTCATTCTTACCCAATTACAATGACACTTTACATCATGCACAGATACTGATATGCCCTACGCATATAGCCTTTATCATGTCAGGAGCAACTTGAGAAACTGCAGTTCACTTCTGGTGTGACAGAATTAGCCATCCACAAGGATGCTGCCCAGGGGACGCCCGGATGTTTGATGCTTTACCATTCTTGTCTCATGTCTCCACACAGGGAGGTGGAGCTGACAGAGGGAGCTTAAACCGCTGTCCCTGAATTCAAACGGCTGACCTGTCACTCTGCAGTCCTACTGGCACAAGGGTTTAACCCACTGTGACACCAGGGGCTCCTGCATATAGCCTAAAAATAACTTTATACAATATTTTAATAATGTTATGCATGTTTGTGTACAATGAACCATTAGAAAGCAAAGGTGTCATGATCTGTGCCACTCATGAGGACACTTTTTGATTTTGAAACATTTCAAATTTTGGATTTCCAGGTAAGGCTTGCTCAACTTGGGTCACTTTCCCACAGGTATTCTGTTCTAAGAGTTGAGCGCTCTTTAAATATGCAGGTGAGAAATAAAACAGACATTACCTCAGCAAGACGGGAATGTTTATGAACATTCTCTCCTTTCTGGACACTTGGGGCAAGCTGCTGAAGGACTCCCCGGCTGCTTGTGAGGGCACGGGTTAAGCGGGCAAACTTTCCCCAGCCTGAAAGCAAGACAACATATTGTTACAACAAAGATTAGACCTTACTTTAACAAAATCTTAGTTTTCTAGGCAATGTTATTAAAAAAGTTTGGTCTGACCTACATTTTATATGACTGGAACTTTGTAACTCCTCCTTCTACCGTCATCCCCATCTCCCCCCTGCCAAATCTGGGAAGAATGTAAAATTAACCCCTTGAGCCAATAGTGCCCCAAACATGTGAGAAAACTACTGGCTATTTTTTAGCATTGGGCAGCTTTCAAACATGTGAAAATTACATGTTTCACTCTGACTGGGTGGAAAGGAACTTATGTAAGCAGCTTGTCATAAAGATAAGCTCAGACACAAATCTATTTCCAATTAATTGCAAGTGTAGTTGCATGTGTGAATTTAGATGGGGCATTTTCAAGTTCACTGCATGTGTATAATCATAGATCAAGAACAGGAATGAAAAATTAAGGCATGTTTACTGGAGTACTAAAGAATGAAGCTGGCAAACAAGTATTAGAATAGCTGCCGTACTACTGCAGTTGCTGTCCATGGTGCTGAAAGGAAGGATTGTTTTATACTTATATATCCTCATAAGAATCTGTTTCTTTCACTACTGCTTCTAGGAATGGTTCTGGAACGGTTTTTCTTATGTGTGTCAATACTGTTTTCTTATTTGCATCTTCTTCTGTACTATTTATATCAATTCTTTCTTTCCTTCTGTAAACTCAAGATTATTTTAAGCCTTTGAGGCCACGGTAGCGCAGTGGGCTAAACTGCTAACTACAGGAATTCCGCTGACCAGAGGGTTGGCAGTTCAAAGCCACTAGTTGGGGTGAGCTCCCACTTTTAGCCCTAGCTTCTGCCAATCTAGCTGATTATAAACATGCAATGGGATTAAATTGTTAAAGTAAGGTATTGCCTCGGCGGGAAAGGAAAAGGGCACCCCATGCAGACATGCTAGCAAACACAATCAGAGATGTCTACAGGTTCCTCAGAATGGAAAAATGGAATAACAGCACCACCCCATGGCCGGAGTTGAGCATTGCCTCCAGATGCCAGAGATGAAATGGGAAGGCTATTACCTTTATCTGTGTATTGTATGCCATTGTTGTCCACTGTGTAAAAGATACTGAATGTTAGCCTTATATCTGTATACTGTAATCTACTCTGAGTCCCTCCAGGGAGATAAAGAAGAATATAAAAAAGTGTATTATTATTATTATTATTATTATTATTATTATTATTATTATTATTATTGAGCAGTTCTAAAATTGTTAAATACTTTGATAATTTTCTGTTTCTTCCATTCTAACTCATTTTACTTTTTAAAATTTGTTTTATTTGTATGCAATTTTCAGATCCTGTGATAAAGTGTGGAGTATAAATATTACCGTAAATGCAATAAAATAAAGCTGCATACATTCCTTTACTTCTTATTTTATCCTTCCCACAATGTGTGAGGTTGGTGAAGCTGAAATAGAGTAGTGGGCATGCCAGAGTCATCCAGGGAGTTGTATGGGTCAATGGAGACTAGACTCTTGATTTCTCAAGCCTCAGTACAGCTCTTGAACCACTAGACTACACTAATTTGCTGTAGTGCTTATTATTATATGCCTTCAAGTCATTTCTGATTTATTCATTTATTTACCCTATTTATACCCCATCTTTCTCAATCCCGTAGGGAACTCAAGATGGCTTACATACATAGACAATGATTCAACGCCATGTTAACATACATTCATAAAAAATAAACAAATATATTAAAAATCATTAAACACCTATCAAACCTTTAAAACACTTATTAAAATCACATTTTCCAAAATTGTAGTCCAGGCCATTCCAAAGTATAATTGTACTATTCCATTATTCTCGTGGATTACTAATTGAACACTTACCAAGGGGCCACCACTGAGAAAGCCCTATCTTTCGTCCCCACCAACCATACCTGTGAAGGAGGTCGGACTGAGAGCAGGGCCTACCCAGATTATCTTAATCTCCTAGTTAGCTCATAGAGGGAGACTTATAACAACCTTAAGGCAAATCTGTTCAGAAGTGGCTTTCCTATACTTTCCTCTGAAGCTGAAAGAGTATGACTTGACCAAAATCACACAGTAGGTTTCCATGGCCAAGTACTGTTTCAAATCCTTGTCTTTAGATACCTAGTTCAATACTCCAACCACTAATCCAAACTGCCGTTCATACTAACATTTTTATAATGGGTTTTTTTTTCAGGTTATTGATTACATGTATTTTGTATATATTGCAAGATGTAGGTGTGATATTTTAATAATAAATAATAATACACTTTATTTATATTCCGCTTTATCTCCCTGAAGGGACTCAGAATGGATTACAGTACACATATAAGGCAAATATTCAATACCTTTTTATACTAAGAATAACATACAATACACAGATAAGGTGAAAGCCTTCTCCTATTCCATCTCTGGCATCTGGAGGCAATGCTCAATTTCTAGCCATGGGGAGGGGTTCTTGTTCCATTTTTCCATGCCGAGGAGACTGTTGTCCATAGATATCTCCATTTGTGTTGCTGGCATGTCTGCATCGGGCACCCTTTTACCTTCCCACCAAGGAGGTACCAATTGATCTACTTGCATTGCATGCTTTTGAACAGCTAGGTAGGCAGAAGCTAGGGCTGACAATTGGGAGCTCAACCTGACTTGCGGCTTCGAACTCTTGACCCTCCAGTTAGCAGCCTTTCCTGCAGCTAGTGGCACTGTGCTACCATGGCATTTATCTGCTGTATATAAATAAAAATGTAATGTTTGTTTGTGGGATTAACATAACTCAAAAACCACTGGATGAATTGACACCAAATTTGAACACAAGACACTTATCAGGCCAACAAGTGATCATCACTAAGAAAAACACTGAAAAACACAGCAGAAGAGACTTAAGAAGCCAAAAAATAAAAATGCATTACAATGCATGCACAAAACCACACACATATATACACATATACACAAATATATACATACACATACACACACACACAACACATACACAGACTGAGCCACAGCAATGCATGGCAGGGGTCAGCTAGTATTCTATAAAATGCTTTGAATTCTTTTTTTAAGGAATCCAAGCTTATATAAATAAATATGAAACGAGAGATGACACTGAGCCCTTGGTATCTTCTAGGGTTTGGTTCCAGGATGAAACCATGGATGGTCAAGTCCCATTATATACAATAGTGAAGCAAAATTGTGTCTCTTATATATTTTTTTTGGGATTTCAAAAGTATTTTTCAAGCTGTGGATTATTAAACACAAGGACACAGAATAAGTGGATATAGAGGACTGACCGCGTATCATTGGGGGTGGGAGTCATGCTAAATTAAAATCCAGTCTGCAGCTGTTTCTTTGTCTTTTTTTCAGACTCTTTTGGTTTTGTTGGCCTGACTTTGGATATTATAAGTGGATTTCTGTTTGAAAACATTATCAAAATGTTTTATCTCACTGCAGTCTTTGTATAGTACTGCCTAGCTTTAGATAAGTGACAGGGTGGAATAATGTAGAACAAATGAGAATAATAATTTTCATGATGGATGTAAAACAGGAAGAATGAAGAGAACAAAACCAGAGGGAAAGCAAGAATCAGTAACATCTCTAATGGAACAAGGTCTGTGGATGTCCCATTGCAACCTAGACTGAAGGAAGCCATGTTTACATCCACCTAATCTTATTAGGAGATATCACTACAAATGTCTGAGGAGCTGTTTCCTGAACACAGACAATAGACAAGTACTGATTATTCCCATTAGGCAGTGAAGGAGATGAAAATGCAATGGCCTTGACTGCAGCACAGAATTCAAAAGGTAGGGAAGGATTTCATTTGGCAAATTTGATCAAATGGTGAGACAACATGACAAAGAAACATAAACTGAGGCTGCTTAAACATAAAAACTGTCCCAAAGATCTAAAGGCAAAGCACTTCCTCTGTATTAAGGTAAAGGTAAAGGTTTGCCTTGACATTAAGTCTAGTCATGTCTGACTCGGGGGGGTGGGTGGTGCTCATCTCCATCTCTAAGCCAAAGAGTCAGTGTTGTCCGTAGACGTCTCCAAGGTCATGTAGCCAGCATGACTGTATGGCATGTTGTAACCTTCCCACTGAAGTGGTACCTATTGATCTATTCACATTTGCATGTTTCTGAACTGCAAGGTTGGCAGAAGCTGGGTCTAACAACAGGAGCTCACCCCACTCCCCAGATTTGAACCGCTGACTTTTCAGTTAGCAAGTTCAGCAAGCAGCTCAGCGGTTTAACCCACTTCACCATCGGGGGGGGGGCTGTATTATCTTTTGACAAATGGTACCCATTTGTGGTAGATCTTCCCCATAGAAATGTAAAAAAAAACTACTGCATCACAGAATTATATTGGCCAAGATATTTCTGGTGGATTTGTCTAATATATTTTGCTACCTTCGATTGTGGCTTATAATTATGTTTTATTGCATTTATTACATCTTACAGTTATTGCCACTATATTGTATTTATTGTTCTCTGCCTTGATATTTTTGGAAGGGTAGTTTAAAAAATACAAATAAATAAATATAATCATAAAATATAAATGCGATCCGTGTTATATGGTATGCCTTGGCTGGAAGCAATGATGAAACTGTGAAAATACAAGCTGCCCTCAGAATACAAAAACCCAAAATGTCATGGTCTGTTTCACGGAGCTCAACAGAACTTTTGCTTGCAGCTTGGTTTCACACATAGCAGGAAAATTGAGAATCTATTCCAAAACATCACATATAGGACATTGACCCTCACTGATAATTTTAGATCTCATTAACTGTTGCTGTTTTCAATAATTCCTCATTAGTACTAACCTATGAAGAAGGTCTATTAGCCAATGGTAAAGTATGTGCTTTTTACACTAATGGCCCCAGGTTCCATAACATGCATCTCCAGACAACGCTGGGGAAGAACGCTGCCTAAAACCCAGTCAGCTGCCTGAGACAATGGGCATTGTGCTCCATCTTGAGAGTATCAGACTGGTACAGACAGGATGTTGCATACAATGTTGTTCTTCCTATGTTCCTCATGCTAAGTTGTTGTTTAGCACTTTCACTTTAGAATCACAGAATCATAGAGTTGGAAGAGACCTCATGAGCCATCCAATCCAACCCCCTGTCAAGAAGCAGGAAAATCACATTCAAAGCATCCCCAACAGATGGCCATCCAGCCTCTGTTTAAAAGCCTCCAAAGAAGGAGCTCCTCCACACTCCGGGGCAGAGTTCTACTGCTGAACAGCTCTCACATTCAGGAAATTCTTCCTAACCCAATGTTCAGATGGAATCTCCTTTCCTGTAGTTTGAAGCCCTTGTTCCGCATCCTAGTCTCCAAGGCGGCAGAAAACAAACTTATTCCCTCCTCCCTATGACTTTCTCTCACACATTTATACATGGCCACCATGTCTTCTCTTAGCCTTCTCTTCTGAAGGCTAAACATGCTCAGCTTGTCAAGCTGCTCCTCATAGGGCTTGTTCTCCAGACCTTTGATCATTTTAGTCACCCTCCTTCCAGCTTGTCGACATCTCCCTTCAATTGCAATGCCCAGAACTGGACACAGTATTCCAGGTGTGGTCTAGCCAAAGCAGAATAAAGGATGGAATGACTTGTATCAATTCTGTTCAATGTTTGATGTTTTTCTTATGTCTGATATAACAGGCTGCATTTTTATTTAACCCTAGTTGTTAAGTCATAATTTGTGTTTATATGTTGGGTTGCTAAATTTTGTTACTATGGATGTATTGTTGTATTCAGGCACTGAATGTTTGCCTTGTATATATGGAATCTGCCCTGAGTCCCTCTGGGGAGTGGAATATAAATAAAGTTATTATTATTATTATTATTATTATTATTAATATTAATTAATTTATTTATTTATTAAATAGCATCCAGGCAGCTATACATGTAAAAAAATAAAATCCTTTGGAGCAAAAATTAATACATGGCCCCATCTTATTTTGAGGGAAACAGGTACCACATATTGAGATTTTTATGAAATCAGCAGATTCCACTTCCTATTTCCCTAGAAATGATGTGTAAAAGACATGGACTTAATTTGTGGAGAGAATTCCCACTTCAGATTCAGGAAAGTATTTTTGCTGTCAAATCGATATTTTAGTCTAAGATAGTGGTTGGACAGCTCTCTTTATTCTTAAAAGGCCATTGAAAACAGTTCCTTTGGGGGATATCATTTGCCTTGTTGGATCTGAGCCTCCACTTGTCATTTACCAAGTGGGTAACTGCTTTTAGCTCTTGTCTTGATGCGATCATATTTTCATTGAGACTTCTTATGCAAGACTATATTTACTTGATTTTATTATACAGTACTTATAATCATTAAACTCAAGTCAAAAAGTGATCGATAAATCTGAAGTGCAATAGTAATAAATAGTTTTTAAAACTTGTGAAGTACACTTTAGATCAGGCATGGACAAACTTTGGCCCTCTGAGTGTTTTGGACTTCAACTCCCACAATTCCTAACAGCCTCAGGCCCTTTCCTTTTCCCCCTTAAGCGGCTGAGGGGGGAAAGGAAGGGGTCTGAGGCTGTTAGGAATTGTGGGAATTGAAGTCCAAAACATCCAGAGGGCCAAAGTTTGCCCATGCCTGCTTTAGCTGAGAAGGAACAATTCCCTTGAAGCTATCCAAGTCTGCTTCATAGTTATCCAAGAGCCATTACTCCAGACTGGAGAACGTTGTAGCATTAAGAACATGTGTCTAATTTTCCTTTCCACCCTTTTTGTTTTTGTGGCATGACTTTAATTTGTAGATATAAAGATTATATATCTGTCTTGTCCTTCTTGTTGATATAGATGCCATTCTGGCAGTCGTTATAGCAGTAAAATTAATTTGTTTTTATAGCACCATCACTGTACATGGTGCATTACAAGTAGAAGACTAACAAAAAAAAACCTAATTCACTGCCCCTAAGCTTACAATATTATCATTACAGACCATGCGTCCTTACTTCAATCTGGTTCTTATTTATTTCTCTGAATTAAAAAAAACCCTTAAAACTCTTTGAAACAAGGCTACAACATGTATATTTAATATGCGTTTGTAAAAAAAAGAAAAAGGAAAAAAGAAAACCAACAACAAACCTTTGCATGAGTCATCCTCAATAGGCTGTTTGAAAGCTGTTATGTCACTGAAAGTGCAGAGAAACAAAACAACTTTGTCCTGTTCATTTCGAATTGGAGCAATTTTCACAAAGAACCAAACAGGAGTCCCTGGAGGGGGAAAAAGAAACATGGACATACTCATCAATGATGTAAAAAGTATACCACACACTAGCCATACAAGAAAACCCCGAGAAATACTATTGGTTTTGTACACAAAGGAGGAAAAAATCTAAACTAGCTGTGGAATTTAGGAAGGTAAATCAACATTCTTCTTAATTCTCTTTCCAACATTAGGAGCCAAGTTAAGATTTATTGCTTAATCTTTGTGTTCTGTCTGATAAGGTATAAACAAATTAGCCAAATGTTCAAAGACTAACAGTAAGTTTACACCTGCTTTGGTAGTAGGTAGTATGTTTCTGCAGGGTTCATTTCAGTTCAGTCTGCCAGCGCAGAAAGACATATTTGAATATATCTCCAAGGAAAAGATTACATCAGACCTGTTCCCAACCTAAAGAGAACTGGTGCTTCATACAAGACGGTTCACAGTCAGCTTTTAGTTATTGATCTGATTTGTGTAAGGAAGAGGGGTCGACCAAAGGTAAGATGGATGGATGTTATCCTTGAAGTGACTTGTTTGACATTGAAGGAGCTGGGGGTAGAGACTGCCAACAGGGAGCTCTGGTGTGGGATGGTCCATGAGGTCACAAAGAGTCAGAAGCAACTGAATGAATAAACAACACAGCTGATTTGTGTAGTGCCTTCTCCCCAAATCTAGGTCTCAATGGAATGTAACACTTATCAAAACAATGTATCACCAAACAGTAATCACCCCTCTCTAGGAAATACTCAGTTGTCAAAGCCTGCCTAACTGAAAAGATATTTGACTGGTAATGAAAGGACAGCAAGGAGGGAGCCAGGTTGGCCTCAAATGGAAAGGAATTCCAAAGGCAAGGACTAGCCAAAGAGAATGCTCTCTCCCTGCAGTTGGTGGGGGATACGAGACCTGTGATGAATGTTTTGGGGCAGCCACAAATAACCTCAAGCCTTCCAAGGGATGTATGGGAAATCCTGTCATGGTTTCCATCCTCACCCCAATGCCTCTTTAAAAAACACAGACAGTGAATGAGTGTATGTTTTTAGAGACTTATCCTGGGCATAAAACAAGCCAGGGTTTCAAAACCAAGGTGAAATTGTTCTACAGGACATGTGGGGAAGTATTTTGGGGCAAACTATTTAATTTTAAAAATCAGATACAGAAAGGGGGTACAGCGCCACAAACTCCCAAGGAGCGCCAATATAGTCTCTAAGCCCCTAACAGCAGCCCTTCCCTCTGGTTTGCTAATAAAACTGAATTACTGTGTCTCAAAATGAAGCATGTCTAAAAAGTGTGTTATGAACATGCAATGTGTGGAAAGTTCTGGTCTACAGTAAAACAAAGACACAAACAATGAGGTTAATGGCATTACTGGAGATCAGCCTGAGACTCTTGAGGCTGATAGGTTCACTGATGATTTTGAGAGGATTGTGGGATTGCCTGTGGGATTTCCTGGGGCTTGAAGTGATTAAGATTCAAGTCAGGGGAATGATGCTTCTCTCTGAGAACTCTGACTCAGAAAGTGCAGAGCTTCAATGTCAGTCAGAGAGGACAGAAATTGCAACATTAGAGAAGGAGTCAGCAAAGAGATAAGTGATACAGAAGGCTCTCAGGAGAAAACACCTGGAATTACAGAGATCAACAAAAGTCTTCATTTACAGATCCGAGCAGAAAATAGGCATTGTAGGTCCAAGCATTTATGTGGGAAATTTGGGGAGGGATTTGTGGGGAAAAGTATGACTTCATGGGTGCCTATTAATTAGCAAGTTGTTTACCTAAGAGTTAGTTCAGGCAATGTAGTGTTCAAGTGTGAAAATAGGCCCGAGTTCTCTGGTTCTTGTTTCAAGTGAAGCCTTGGTTTTGGATTTTAAGTTTTCTGGAAGTATTCTACGTTCTTGTCTTTATATTCCTGTTCAAGTTTTACTAAGTATACCCCTTGCTTGTGGACTTATTATGTACTTGCAACTTTTTGACTATTCCTGGACCTTGGAATCTACATGAGATATTTTGATTTGCTGTGAGCCGGTCTGAGTCCCTCTATGGAGGTAGAGAAGATCAGGATAAAAAAGTTTTAAATAAATAATAAATAAATAATACTGTTTGGACTATCATCTATTGCTAAACCTTTTTGGATTATACCTCTACTTTCTTTATTCCTGATTTGTTGCCTATACTTTTAATGCGTTTCTACAATAAACTGTTTGCTTATACTCTGGACTCTTGTGTGGTGCTGTGGTCATAGGTGTTCCCAGGTCTGGAGTTCAACAGGCATAACCACATTGACACAGGCAATTGACAACAAAAAGCAAAAAGACCACAGGTACTTTCTGACTGTAAAAGAAGTCAGAAAAGTGCAATAACTAGCATTGTGAAGCAACAGGATTTGGACTCCCTCAAGTAACATTTCCAAGCTCAGGGCTAGAATGGGACGAACAGAATAGGGAAAGCAAATGGTTTTTCTCTCCTATCACTTTCTGCTCTCTTCAAATCTCCTTTCAGCCAGAGTAATAAACTGCAGAAATTTCTATTGTAAAATGCAACTGCTGAAATAACAACTGTTGGGAGCTCTTTGTCCCCAGTGGATGCTGGATTCATGTAGCCAAAGCTATTTATATGCGCTGTACTAAACAAAAGGAGTTGCTGCACTGCAATAATCCAAACTGCCTCCCAAGAAAATCAGATTCTGAACGACTTGTATAAATTATGGCACTTATTTTATAGAACATACACGGTTCTCGTTCATTATGGGGAATAGAGATGCCAGCTAACAGTGTCATGCTCAGATATAAGCTTTGAGGAGGAAAGGCATGAAATGTTTGCCTCACAGACAAGGCAGGCTTTATAAATTCACTCATTCCCCATTTTCTCTGATTTGGACTGATTTTCATAAGAAACAGACTCCTAGCTTCACCACAAACACTCTGCATTTTATAATGACTGGGATTTTGCAACTCATTGTTATCAGCTTTATTTATGCAGATATTTGCACACTCATAGCACCTAGTACTTTTATTTATTACAGAATTTACATCTCAACTTTCCTTTATAAGATTCCAAGGCATTTCTCAACCCCACAAGGAAAAATAATACTAAAACTTGTTTAAAATACAAAACAAACTGACACAGCATCCATGCAGATCAGATTGAAACGATAAAAATCTGCAAAGAGGGGCTCCTTGGAAGATTAGAAGCTGAGAGAAGAAAACATTTGTCCGTCCCTGTCCTCCCACCCCCACCCCATACATTTCAAATCACTTATTTTCCCTGTGTCACTTTGCAGCAAGCCTGATTTCAGCCATTGAGAATAATCAAATATTTATATTTGCTTGCTTGTATCCATTCATACATACTGCCCAGGATAGCTAGCAACATCATAAAAATACAATTCAACATACACACAATATCTTAAAAACTAATTTTAAGAACAAAGATAAACAATAAGATATGATATATCAAATGTTGTTGCTATGTGAGAGAGAGCAGGGTTCCATGGTTTGAGCATTCAATTACAACTCTAGAGAACAGGGTTCGAATCCCTTACCTTGAACTACAGTCTCTCAAATAGGAATGCAAGCTTGGTCATTAAACCCATGCAAACGCACCACTCTTTTGATATTTTGTGCTACAAATTCCATCCTCCCCAGCTCACACGTGCAGTGGGCAATGACAGGTGTGCAATTCAACAACATCTGGGAGTTGTCAGGTTGAAATCTAAACAGAGTACTTTGTTTACTAAAAAGGAAAAGGCTAGGTATGTGTCATCCTTTTCTGGATATGGCAAACCACAGCCAAATTTGGGTTAAATAACACTTATAGCTGATATTTGAAACTCTCTCAACTAACATTGCACAGCTGTTGCTGCATGTGTTGCAGAACTCACATTCTGACAGGGATCAAAATAAGTTGGGGGAGGCTTGGGATTGGTTAGGCAGGTCATTCTGTTGGAGTCTTCGTGGACAACAAGTTAAACAATGGCCAACGATGTCATGTGGGAGCTTAAAAAGCCAATGGGAGTTTGGCCTGCATAAATAGTGTCTAGATCCACGGAAGTGATCTGCCTTGGGCTTGTTCTTCAGACGCTTGGTCAGATCTCACCTGGAATCACACACTGTGTCCAATTCTGGGCACCAAAATTGAAGGGAGATGTTGACAAGACGGAATGTGTCCAGAGGAGGGCACTGCTCTGGCCGGCCCAGTTTTAAAGTGTCCTGATGTATTGTTACTGTTATTGTCTATTTTGCTTAACTGTTTTGATTTGCTTCTGGTATTGTTGTTGTATTATGTTCTGTTGTACTGTGTTTTGAGGCTTCGGCCTGTGTGAGCCGCATCAAGTCCTACGGGAGATGCTAGCGGGGTACAAATAAAGTTAATAATAATAATAATAATAATAATAATAATCAAAATGATCAAGTGTCTGAAGAACAAGCCCTATGCAGAGTGGCTTAAAGAGATGGGTATGTTTAGATTTCAGAAGAGAAGGCTGAGACATGATGAGGGCCATGTATAAATATGTGAAAGGAAGTCATAGGGAGGAGGGAGTAAGCTTGTTTTCTGCTACCTTGGAGACTCGTCGCAGAACAATGGTTTCAAACTACAGGAAAGGAGATTCCAGCAGAACATTAGGAAGAGCTTCCTGACTATGAGAGCCATTTAGAAGTGGAACTCCCTGCCCCAGATGGTGGTAGAGGCTCCTTCTTTGGTGGCTTTTTAACAGAGACTGGATGGCTATCTGTTGGGGGTGCTTTGAATACAATTTTTCTGCTTCTTGGCAGGGGTTGGACTGGATGGCCCATGAGGTCTCTTCCAATTCTATGATTCTATGAAGTTTATATATACACTAGCCAAGTAATGTCTCCTATAGTTGACTTCATTGAGAAACAGAGAACATAGAGAGTGGAAAACATAACTAGCTATGCAGCTTCATGGGATGAGCTTTTGGAATAAAGCATGTCTATTGAACAACCCAGGACCTGAACACCAATTCCAATGCCTTAACAGTAGCTGGTTGCTGCAAAACCCATCTGTAGAATAGATGGCAAACAGGTCAAGAGGTTGGAAAAATACATTTTGTTCAGTCCCCAAGGAAGTGAGGTTATTCTTGCTGAAGAAGAAATCTGAGAAGCAATTAAAGAACAAAAGCCTTCAGCCCAGGAGCTATTTTGAGAAGATTCATGGTTTATTACTTCTTTGTTATGCTTTTAAAAAGTGGCCAAATGAGCAGAAGGAAGGGACATCGTGGGTAATTTCTATATTTGCTTACAAGTTTCCCATGGGAGGAGAGGCAGTTAAAATACATTCTTGGAGGATATTGTACAGTCAGTTCAAACTGGGGATGTGCAATAGGTGGACTCCCACATGCTGTTGGACTAGATCCTACTCTTTCACCATTGACTAATGTAGTGAAAGCAGACAGGAACTGCAATTCCACAACTTCTAGAAAGTCAAACACAAACAAAACCTGGTGATTATCTATTGAGTTCAGAACATCACAGGCCAACAGAAGGATTGTTCCTTGCTTCATAGCTGCTCCCAATACATCAAAAATGGATCTAGAATATTAGTATAAAATTCAGGCAAGTACTATAATTGTCCATGCCCCAGAATGCCACAAAAATGTAGAACACACAAAACAAGATTATATAGTCTAGTAAGGCAAATTGTTAAGAAAATGATAAGTATGGTGTGAAATTCCAAGTGGCATGTACCTTACTGTACATAAGAAAAGAAGTCAAAAGAATTCTGTATGTTTCCGCTGATGGTTCTGCTCCTTCCTAAAGAGTGCTATTGACCACTTTGTGCTGCAGGACTGCTCCAAGCAGAATCCTGTCTCAGGCGCAGGAGCACCTCAGGCTGTACTATAATAGGCAGGAATGGAACAAGCTGAAGATAAATAAAAGATGATCCAAAAAAAGCCAATGATGCAGTACAAGAGGTGTCCCTCGGTTCTTGTAAGAGCACTTTGAGTCTTTGAAAACCAACAAGGAACCTAATAGGCCATCTAACAACATCACTATACTGCCAAAAAAACAAGAACGGTAGTCAATGCCAAAATGAATGTGAAATGAATTTGATTCCCTTCCTTGGCCAAATCACATCATGGCTATGTAGCAATCTTTTCAAGAAAGCCAAATCTTAATTAGAGCATTCTTTGTTGCTCTTTAGTAGCTCCCAAGATTATAATTTGTGTTCTAGAGAACTGAGATAGTCCAAGAAATTATCTTCTCCCAAAAGAGGCCATCATGAAAAGTTGTTAGGGATGTTTCAATGTTATTGTAAGCAAAGCAGCACACTGTTACATGCAACACACTTGTTCCCACTGGGCTTCTCCTCCTCCAAGATGTGTTTTGTGCCCTGTTTTGTGTGATGACTGAGATAGGAACGATGGCTTCTTCTTGCACTTTTTACCTTAAGAAGCAGCGCAGCACAGTAAAAAGAGAAAAAAACTTTGAGGGTAGGTTTTAACTGCAAAGCTGCACCATTTTTCAAATTCTGTAGTTCTATGTTGTTCCAAGAAGAAAAAAGAAGTTATTATAAATTGTGGGCATTTTTGAGGTGCTGTTTTTCCCCCAGCTAAGATTCTCAGAAGGTTGGAAACTCCAAATTCAATCTCCGTTGTGTAACTGATGAATTTCCATCTATCTCTAGTAGGCTTCAATATTATAAATATCAGCACTGGTGACCATACCAAAGAATATAGGATTAATAAAGAAGAAGATCCCCTGCTGAGAGCGGGCTTCTGTGCAATGTTTAGATAGACCAGTGGTTCCCAACCTGTGGTCCATGGACCACCAGTGGCCTTCAAGAACTAAAATATGGTCCACAGCCTCACCATTACTACACCATTGCAACAAGAGTGACTGGTCTCGCAAAACCCTCTTACAGTGCCAAGACTTCCTAAATATGGTTTTCTGTGAGTGAGCACATGGTGATTACTGCATGGCATATGTTCTGTATCAGAAACTAAAGCTGATGTGGTCTAGCCAATGCAGTTTTCTGAATCAGCACCCCAAATAACCAAACCAAATCTATAGTTGACCAAAAACTGATTGTTACCAATGTTGGAGAGTGGTCCCTGGTCAAAAAAAAGGTTGGCAACCACTGAGATAAACCGAGGCTGAATAGCTATGAGCCTACAAATGTTTTATACATTATTGCTTCTAACTGTTATGACTTCAACGTATGGTAACTGACTTCAATGTATGGTAACTCCCTGATCTCCAAGTCACCTTATCAACAATAAACTTATTCAGGTCTTGCAGACTCAGGGCCATGGCTTCCTTGATTGAGTATATATATTTGGAAGTGATCTTCCTCTTCCTTTCTAAGTTTTAAGCATTATTGTCTTTTTCAGCATCTTCTCATGATATGGTGAAAGTTAAAAAAAATAGATAAATCATCAACTATTTAGTAGGAACTGTAAACCAACAACACTGGGAGTGACAGTGTCACCGGTCCTGAATTAAACTCATAGTTAAAAACATTTTTAAAAGACAGGAATATGAATGGGCATGGGTGTCACTTGGTCACTGCATTTTTGTCTTTCTTTCTGGGCTTTAGCACATCAGGTTAACTGCCAGCTGCAGTAAATCTTGCCAATCAAAATACTGACAGTTCAAAACCCAGGTCAGATTGAGCTCCTGGCCTTTAGCCCAGCTTCTGCCTACCTAGCAGTTTGAAAACAAATGTGAGTAGATAGATAGGGAAATATTTAAGGCACTCCTAAGGAAATGCCAGAAAATGCTGGCAATTCGATCAAAGGAGGAAGTTTACAAACAAGAGCTCTCTGGAAGGGAAGCTGGAGTGACAGCACACACAAACACCCCATGGCCGGAACCAAGCACAGTCTCCAAATGCTGAAGATGTGAAAGCCTATAAATACCTCTATCTATGTACAGTTGTATGTCTTGTCAGTGTATAACAACACTGAATGTATATGTGATCTGCTCTGAGTTCCCTTTGGGGTGAGAAGGGTGAAATACAAATACTGTAAATAAATAAATATACTCTCTACATGCAAATTGGCGTGAGATATAACCCTAGATTTGCTACCAATATTTTTAATCCCTGTTCTTCTTTCCTTTCAATTTTCCCTGATGCTTCTTTCTTTTCTCATTTCCAAAGCTATACAATGGCATATCATGTACAATGTTCCCTCGCTACTTCGTGGTTCACTTATTGCAGACCCGCTGTTTGTAGAGCTGCTCCCCGTTCCTTCCTCACCAGGCTGGGCACCAGTATTGGGCACCCAGCCTGGCAAGGAAGGGACCTCCGAAGCAGGAAGCAGTGGAGGTGGCAAGGAGGAGGACGCTGCGAAGTAGGGACACTCCACCCACTCATGGGTGGAGCGTCCCTACTTCACGGATTTTCACTTATCATGGGTGGCCCTGGAATGGAACACCCGCAATAAGTGAGGGAATACTGTACATCAATCACATATCCTGTTCTTAAAAATGTATTGGTTGTACATGAAAAGTCTCTGGTTTTAGTTGCATGGCTAGATTTCCAAAAACACTCACTGACTAAAATACAAGAATAGGGCTCTGAATTGAGTTTGGGGGAATCACATGTACAGGCCTCGTGCAGAGATATAAGAAAGCGTCACCAAAGAGATTCCTACAAGACCTCTGATATTAAAATTCTGTAAGAAAGCAATTTCCTACAGCCACTGCTCTGGTTATCAAATTAGTGTATCATCGCTAGCAATCCTATTACTGAATGCCAAGGTAAAGTTATAATTCCTGTAATTCTCTCCATCTGGAAACCTATTAATGTGGATAGAAGGAAGATGACCCATATCTGCATGGGATATTTTCCACTAGGATAACAAAATCATAGTAAATAACTAATCTTATTGAATTAACAGGTTCTGACAGAAACATACCACAGAATCATGCTTGAGGACCAAGGAAATGCCTAGAGCTGACATATTTTGTCAGACATGGAGAAATGAAACCATCCTTCAGATACAGGGGACCATACAGTACACTCAGTGCCATTTCCATAGCAGTAGCAATGCTCTGCCATGTTCATCAGATTAAAACACATCTCTTAGTTTGCTTGCTTCCTTACTTTGCTATTTCTGGGCTGCTTTATTAAAAACAGAGTAAAAAAATCCACTTACTGTTCTTCTTGTACATTAGGATTTCAAAGGAATTCATCTCGTAGTTCTCAAATGTTTGCCGTACTTTATCTACTGTTTCTTTATCCGTCAACTCTCCATACATAAAACTGCAAGAAAATTGATTTTTTTAAAAAAAAATATGGATCTGGAGAGCCACAAGCAAGACATATTACTGTGACTATATCTGCCTATCTCTATACATTTCATTTTTCTCTAAATATGGGAATCCAAGTCAGTTCACAATCTGAGTTACAACTAAATACAGTTAAAATAATGGTTAATACAAGCTTGTAAAAAATAATTTAAAAACAATATCATTAAGAATATAAATGTAATTTTTTTTTAAAAAAAGCTGTTAAACTATAATGATGATGGTGATGACGGTAAAAACACAAAAACAAGTCACCCCAACTGAAAGACCTTCTGCAACAGATAGTTAACACTCAAGTGCTTTGGTAAACAGAAAGGTCTTTGTGTTGTCAAAAGCTTTCATGGCTTGAATGACTAAGTTGCTGTGAGTTTTCTGGGCTGTCTAGCCATGTTTCAGAAGCATTCTCTCCTGATGTTTCACCCATATCTATGGCAGGCATCCTTAGAGATTGTGAGGTCTGTTGGAAACTGGGCCAGTGATGTTTATATATCTGTAGAATGTCCAGGGTGGGAGAAAGATCTCTTGTCTGCTTGAAGCAAGTGTGAATGTTGCAATTGGCCACTTTGATTAGCATTTAGTGGCCTTGTAGCTTCAAAGCCTGGCTGGTTGCTGCCTGGGGTGATTCTTTGTTGGAAATGAAAATAAACAAAATCCAGCTACCAGTATTAAACAAAGCTCTAAAATCAGGACAGTAAATAAAGAGCAACACTAAAAAAACATGAATTCCAGACAAGAATCAATCATGGCCAGCTAACATCTCCCAACAAAGGATTCCCCGTCAGCCAGTCTTTGAAGCTGCAAGGCCATTAAATGCTACTCAAGGTGGCCAACTGCAATAGTCACACTTGCCTCCAGCAGACAAGAGTTTTTTCTCCCACCCTGGACATTCCACAGATATATAAACCTCACTTGCCTAGTTTCCAACAGACTTCACATCTCTAAGGATGTCTGCTTCTGAAACATGGCCATACAGCCTGGAAAACTCACAGAAACCCAGAAAGGTCTTTTCTTGCCAGTAGAAAGAGAGCAGAGAGGAAACCAAACCTAGTTTCTAGTGGGAGATAATTCCATCCTCTTGGACCAAATGTTTCTGTGAGAGAAAGCCTTCCTTCAAGATCTTAAAACACAAGACAACTTGCATGGGAAGATACAGTCTTTCAGACAGGATGAAGCTAAGCCATATAGGGTTTTCAACTGTGCCCAGAGTCAAATAATTCAAGGGTGCATCTACACTGTAGAAATAATGTATTTTTCACAATGCTTTAACTTAATGCCATGGAATCCATGGCTTAATGATATGGAATCCTGGGATTTGTATCTTGATGGACACCAAAAGTCTTTGGCAAAGATGGCTGAAAATCTTGTAAGACCACAGCAACTTCTAAACAGGTCACAGGTTTGACAAGACATATGCAAGAGGCTTAAGGGAGCCCAAGGATTATATAAAAGATTGTGTCAATTGACATAGGAATTGTTATTACCGTAATTATTCTTCTCTCGCCCCCTCTGTGGCTTTTCTGCTAACCAAAACTCTGTGCCACAGAGTTTCCCAATACACAGGAGCCTCAAAGGGGATCTATATCTTAAGCTCACAGTTACAGAAGCACGTCTGTCATCCATCTATCCCACTTTTTATCTTTTAAAAAGAAATGACAATCTCTCACATACAAATGTACACACACATAACTGTACCACTGCTTAGACTAGGCCATCAAAACCATGGATCATGACATATTACTTTAAGATAAATAGCACATGAAGTTGAACATTATATTGGATTTATGAAAGGCAAACCTGGTTGCAACTCAGCTTTGAAGTTCACTAAGCAACCAAGTATGAGTCACAATCCCTGAACGCCATTAGATGCTGTTAGCATAAAAGCGGAAAACCTCTCTTTACACACCCACACACCCATAGCTATGATGTCACGGTGCCCCTTTCATGTAGTTTTAGCAAGAATGCATTTGTTTTAATTCCTAATTTGGGGAAATCCATGTATAGTAGGACCCTCATATCTGCAGAGGATAATAATAATAATAATAATAATAATAATAATAATAATAATAATAATAATATACTTTGAAAATGTTCAACTTGTGATTTTGTGATATAAAATTTAGCATATATATCTCATTGCTGTATCATACTGTGTTTTTGTGTCATTATTATTTATTTATTTATTTATTTATAACCCACCCTATCTCCCTGAGGGGACTCAGGGTGGTTTCCAACAAAAGTGGCAAGCATTCAATGCCATAATAAAGCAGACAAACAACAAATCAATCAACACAGTAAATAAAACAACATCAATATAAACTTATAATAACTAGCCAAAAATAACCAAAAATTAAGAACTTAAATAAACATAATTTATCACATCACACATATTTACCAACATACTAAAAACTAAGCAGCTAAAATGCTTTAAAAATATGTTTTTACTGCAACCAACAGGGCTGAGGTAGATTTCCAGTATTTAAATGACTGTATATATTAAGATGTCCTCTTCCTCTTCCTCTCTATAAGCTAAAGTGCATAAATAGGTTTAAAGGAGAGGAGAGGGGGGCATTTTTAGGTCTTTAGGGGGGAAGTTCGAGAGGTGGGGAGTGGCCATGGGAAAGGCCCCCTCTCTCATTCCCACCAGCCACACTTGAGACAGGAGTGGGACTGAGAACAGGGCCACTTCCATGGACTGCAGTGCTCGTGGTAGTTTATATATATAGATGTGGTTTTTCAAATAGCCTGAACCTGAACTGTTTACACTCCAAGAACCTCCACCTCACTTGCATGGATACCTAAAACCACAAATAATAGCAAAACCTATATTTTGATTATACTTGGCTGGGAAAATGCCACAGAATTGCATTAGCGGACCTAGAGTGATCCACGAACTCTTCTAGCACGGTATTTTTTGGAGCATGGGTATGTGGATACTGAATCCATGGATAAGGAGGTCAAACTGTATAAAGTTCTTCATCATTGCCACGTTGTCATCACCACCACCGGTATTATTGTGTGGATTGTAGGTATCAGATATAGTGAAACTGCACAATTCTAATGCTCTTTGTGTTGCTAGTTTCCAAGTCAAAAATTGCCATTGCTGCCATCTCAAGCTGGGGAGGATGGAGTTTAAAAAAGGGGGTGAACATGCTGTTTCTGTTGTTTTTATTTTATTCAGACAAAGAAAAGCAACATGACAAGCTGTTTAACAGAAAGTAAATCAGCAGTGAAATACCTGCAGGTGCTGCTTTTTTGCATAACTTCTGCTCTGTGGTATCCTGAGAGCTTGCAAAATCCATCATTGCTATACACAATGGGCCAATCCACTATCTGGGCATTACCCAGGACAAAATTGGTATCTGCGTGAGACAATGTATCAGTTAGATAACAAGGCTGTACAGCACATTAAGTGATTACATAACAACTCCATCACCCCACCCACCTGTACGTATGTGCATGCAAACACACACATATATATATACATATCCATGTATGTACAGTTATGGAGCCCTCGATTCTTGAAGGTGCTTCTTCATTTCAACAACTGAAGTCTGAATTTGATACAATATTAATTTCATGAATATGACTAACATCATGTTCTAAACATGGAACAGAGCATGAAGCAATACGGAAAGGTCAGAAAGACATTAACCTTTCTCTTCCTGCCATGGTCCTTTCCCCAACGTACTGAAGAGGAGCCTCATATTGGCTAAGGCTGAGAGACTCCTCCACTGGCACTGAGGTGGCCATCTGTCCTACTTTGGGAAAATTCACTAGAACAATTCCTTCTTGGGAGGGCTGTCCAATCCACGTTTGTTATAAAGAGGAAGAACCATAGTAAGAAAGGAGAGCGGCAGCCTTGTGAAACTATCCCATCCCAACTCAGCACCATGGACAGCAGACTGAACAGGAGCACAAGTTATATGGACCCAGTGTACATCAGAGCCTTTACCAGAGCAATCCAGGATTGTTTTTCATATGGTTTTGCTCCTCTTGGAGCACATGGCCTTTTTTTAAAAAAAAAAAACCTGTTTGAATACAACAGAGTTTTTAAAAAACACAGGCAAGTGATACTGTTTTTAGGGAGGAGGGAGCAAGCTTGTTTTCTGCTGTCCTGGAAACTAGGACGCAATAGAACAGTGGCTTCAACCTACAGGAAAGGAGATTCCACCTGAACATGAGGAAGAATTTCCTTACTGTGAGAGCTGTTCAGCAGTGGAACTCTTTGCCCTGGAGTGTGGTGGAGGCTCCTTCTTTGGAGATTTTTTAAGCAGAGACTGGATGGCCATCTGCCAGGGTGCTTTGAATGCGATTTTCCTGCTTCTTGGCAGGGGGTTGGACTGGATGGTCCACATGGTCTCTTCCAACTCAGTGATTCTAAAATTCTAGGTTGCTGTGAATTTTCCAGGCTGTATGGCCATGTCCCAGAAGCATTCTCTCCTGACATTCACCCACATCTATGGCAGGCATACTCAGAGGTTATGGGGTATATTGGAAACTAAGCAAGGGAGGTTTATTTATCTGTGGAAGGTCCAGGGTGGGAGAAAAGAACTCTTGTCTGTTGGAGGCAAATGTGAATGTTGCAATTAATCACCTTGATTGGCATTGCAAAACCTTGGAGCTTCAAAGCCTGGCTGATTCCTGCCTGGGGGCATCCTTTGTTGGGAGACATTAGCTGGCCCTGATTGTTTCATGTATGGCATTCCCCTCACTTGCTTAGTTTCCAGTACACCTCACAACCTCTGAGGATGCCTGCCATAGATGTGGATGAAACATCAGGAAAGAATGCTTCTGGAACATGGCCATAAAGCCCAGAAAACTCACAGCAACCCAGTGGTTCTGGTCATGAAAGCCTTTGACAACATATTGATACTGTTTTTAATTTTGACTTATAAACACGCTATGAATGAGAGACTTCCAAGTCATCCTATCCTCAACACCTCTATTTAGGTCTTGCAGACTCAGAGCCATGGCTTCCTTGATGGGTCTATCCATCCAGAATTGATTTTTTTCTTTTCCTACTGTCTTCTACCTCACATTATTGTCTTTTCCAATGAATCCTGGCCAAAGTACCAAAGTCAACTTGACTTCTTTAGTCATCTTGACTTCTAGGGATTGTTCTGGCTTTATTTGCATATAGGTCTACAACTAAGGTTTAATGGGTTCCAAGGGATGTGCCTTTGAATCCAAACTATAGCCAGGCTTATACAGGTCTGGATTATACTTGGCCACACATAATGCAGTTCTCATGTGCATCAAATATATCATATTTTACTACTGAGCATAATATATGTGCATGGTTAAATGAGGGATGAAGCAGAACTTGATAGAGACTTTTTTTCATAGACGCCTGTCTTAGGATGAATTGATTGTTATGAGCAAGGATAGATTAGTACAAGATGCCTATAAGTGCCTCTTCTGCTGTCAAATCACTCCAACCCAGTGAAAAACAATGGGTTGGTGACCACCCCCTTGGAAATATCTCTGATGAATTCCCTTGCCTGAGCTATATGCAGAAGCAGCAGCTGCTGCAATTGCAGCTACAGACATTGCCGCAGCATCCTCTCTGCCCTGGATCTCAGGAGCATGACTGCTGCCAGGGAAGGAGGAAAGGAAAAAGAGCAGCAGCATGAGGACACACGTACACTCCGACACGGAGACACACACTTCTGTTTCCAGAGCCCCATCACTGCAGGAGAAAGGAGTCCAACACCGCTTTCTATACAACCAGCACTATTACTGCCAGGCTGCTAGCGATCTGCTGTCAGCACTCTGCTGGTACTGAGAGAATGCAGCAGGAGAATGCTTGCCCTGGAAAACAGATTGAAAGAAAAAGGGAGGCCATCCCTAACACACTTCCTCTTGAAGGATCAAGCCTGATTCCAGCCCATGTGGCAGAACACATTTAAAGAGGGTAAAGAAAAGTCAAGTTAGATTTAAATGCATATATTAAAACTGTATTACCTTTACAGAATCATAGATTTGGAACAGACTCAAGGTCTGTCCAGGCCAACCCACTGCCATGCAGCAATACACAGCCAAAGCACTCTAGTCTATGAAAACCTCCAAAGAAAGAGACCCAACCACACTCCAAGGCAGCATATTCCACTGTCCAGCCACTTTTACTGTCTATATTTTTCCTCAAAGTTTGTATCCATTGCTCTGTGTCCTAGTTTTAGGAGCAGCAGAAAACAAGCTTGCTCCTTCTTCAAAGTGACATCCTTTCAGATATATAAACATGGCTATCAATGCTCCTTCTCAACCTTCTCTTTTCCAAGCAAAACATATCAAACTACCTAAGCCGTTCCTCATAGGGCTTGGCTGCCAAACCTTTTACCATTTTTGTCACCCTTCTCTGGATATGTTATAGCTTATCAATATCCTACTTGAATTGTAGTGCTCAGAACTGGACACAGTATTCCAGGAGAGATCAGAGTAAAATAAAATTATTATCCCACGTTATTATAATGCTCAGGCACTGTAGAGGTCTGAAACTGCTTTAGGAAGAAATGGATATCATATGCCACATGACAGAATCAGGACTAACTTGCATTTAAACTGCATGTAAGTTGACCCAGGGTGCAATCGCCCCACTGTGATGAGACATGCAAAGTTATTATATCTAAGGTTCCATCAAACACATGAAAATTAACCATTTTTTACACAAATCTTTGTTCTTTTATTCTCTCTTTTGCTGGTATGTAAGCAGCTAATCTAATTGGCAATTTATCCTGTCCACAACATGTTTTATTTTGTTCTTCCTGGAAATATGATTAGTTAATACTTGAAACTTATTTTATATTAATATGGTTTTGATTATATATTTAAATATTATGCACTGATATATTTAAATGGCTGTTAGGAAACAATTTTGAGCCACTTTTAATAATATACATCTGATGAACAGTGATGAACATTTGTGTCTGAATTTGTTGTAAAACATACTGTGTACAAGAGTGGGGGAAATGTGACTCACAGGCTATGTACAGGCTCTCCTCCAAATCTCTTGACATCTATCTCCAAAAATCCACCTATAAATTCAGAATCATTTTATGTCATGCCAAGCCAGTCAAGACCACCTGCAACTATCACAATGGCCTCCTGCCCCTCTTTGAAAGTCTATATTTTGGCTGTAAATCAGCCAAAAATTGTGACTGTAGGTGCCATGTTGTCAATTCCGTTGCACCTAAATGCACTTGTGTAACTTATAGGAGAAGGCATGGAGACAAATACTGACCCCCACCCTGTGTACAGTTGTCCACTCTTTATATATACAGAAAAGTATAGAAATGTACATGAAACAGTCACAGGTCATAACAGCTGCCCTGGTTGTCTTGACCGAATGTGCCAATGGGGATTGCTGTCAAGCTCTATACAACCACAGATATACTGACACATTAACATTGGCCATGCCAAATGTTTAGAAAACTCAGTGGAGAAACTTTGTTGACCTCATGTGACATGTAACTCGGTAGACAACAGATTTTTCTGACATCTGTTTTCTCACTGCATCTTAGGATAGTAACTTTAAAACTGGAACCTTAATAGGTTTTCTTCAAGGATAAAAGCTGTAATGGCAGACAATGTTTCTATACATGAAATATAGTGACCTCCATCAATCTTGTCATCTTGTTTTACAATGTGCAGCCAAAGGGACATTGCGGTAACAGAAAACATGTTCAGAAAATGAAGAAGCTCTTAAAAATACAGATTACTTCCCTGAATATATTTCTACATTATACGTGTTTATGGACATGCTGGTTTCCTTGGTGTTCCCATGACCTAGAATAGGCTGCCTTTGAAGACTGTTTGGAAACTTCAGCTAGTCCAGGGAGCCAGATTGCTCACTGGAGCACCATACAGGGAGCACACCACCCCCCTGTTTTGTTAACTCCACTGGCTGCCAATCCAATTCCGAGCACAATTCAAGTGCTGGTCTTGGCCTACAAAGGCCTATACGGCTCCAGCCCAGCTTACTTGTCCAAACGTATCTCTCTCTACATTCCACCTCGTAGTTTAAGATCCACTGGGGAGGTCCTGCTCTCAGTCCCACCAGCCTCGGAAACACATCTGGTGGGGATGAGGGACAGGGCCTTCTCGGTGGTGACCCCCCACTTGTGGAACTCGCTCCCCAGTGAATTAGATCGGCGTTCTCCCTCCTTTCCTTTAGGAAAAAACTAAAATCATGGTTTTGGAAACAGGCCTTTGGCTAGCAGATATAACGGCACTTTAGACACTGAACTTGACCATATGATTGTTATAATAATGGAAACGGCTATATGATTGTATAACTAATGCTATTGTTCTTAATCTATTATGTATCTATGGTTTTATATTGTTGTTATATTGCGATTTGCGG